CTCAGCCAAAGATCGAGCTTTGAGGAGAGGGAGGTGGGGCTTTAAGAACAATTACATGTTCTTCGATATCATATGTCAAAAAGTTATTTTAAACAAAAGTTAAAAATAAAATACCTTTTGGTGTTGGTGCACCCGAAACTTTAACAAAAAATTCAACACTTTCATCAGCATTAACTTCCTTTGATTGTGATTTCTCAATAATTTTTGGTAAACGTTGTTCACCAGTTATTTGTAATTGTACTTCACGTTGAATTTCTGCTAAAGCATTTTTAACAAGACATTTTATTGTACCAGTATCAGCATCAGTTATATTATTAATACGAAGAATAAATAAACCACGTTCTTCAACAATGGATATTTTACCACCTGACTGTAAAAGTTTATCATTAAGAAACCATTGAATCTAAAAAAATCAATTAAATAAAAGTTTCTTTTGTAATGAAAAAAACAAAAGAAAACGGAATCGATTTACTTCTGGTTTTGGACTTCCTGCAACACGACAATTAAATTCTGCCATTTTTCCTTTGACAACTGCTATTGTTTTAGGTTCAAGAACAAATGTTGGTGGTATTCCTTTCATTTCTAAACGTCCTTGTGAATTTATTTCTCCAAGATTATTTTTAAGAATTAATTCATAACTTCCAATATTTTCTTGTTGAAATTTTTTTATATTTAGTACATGTAAATTACCATCATTTGAACGATCTGTTTTTCTAAATATATTATCATCACTTGATTTAGCAGTAAGAATTGGTTGACCATCTTTAAACCATTGCTGTTCAGTATCATATTTTGATTTACATGTTAATGCACATGGTGAACCTAAATCAATTTGTAATATTGAAAGACCTTGAACAATAATTGGTTTTTGTCCTTGTTCAATATTAGCTGGTGCTGTGACACTTGAACGACGTCGTTGAATAGGTGGTGCCGATAATTGTAATTCAGCTTCTTGAAATGCAGCTCTCTTTTGTCGATCAAGTATTTGAGAAGATTTTTTAACTGAACAAGAACATATTGTATGACCATATTTATTTTGCGCTTGAGCTTTATAAGTACCAAGTTTTTTATGTTTAGGACTAATTATTAATTGATGACGAACAGTATGCGGATTTAATGTTTCACTTTTTGTTTGATAATCATTACCAATAATTACTTTTCGATCATTAAATAACCAATTTAATTGTGGTAATGGATTACCAGTAATAGTACATTCGAGACTAAGCAAGTTTAGAAAATAAAAATTAATTATTTATAATAAAAAAAGAAAATAGTTCTTACGTGAGTTGTTCATCTTCATTGACTAATAACTCACTCTCAAGTGGTTGAGTAAAGGCTGGTTTGCCTTCAGGAACAACTAATGTACTTGTACGACGTTCTTCAGTAGTACTGGTTGGCTCGCTCAACATTGCTTCACCTTCACTACTACTTGTCGTCGTTAATGATACTCTATTGATAGATAGAAAAGGTTATTATTACATTGAAATGTGTTGAAAAGATAGATTGGTATATTATCATCTCTGAGAAAAAGTTTACAAGATTCATAATCAGTAAATCGTCAATAACTGTCAAGAACACGAGTAATCATTTATCATTGCCTAGTCAGTAATATTCGTTAATAATAATTATGATCGCAGACAAAAGAAAAAGTGATCTTAAAGTTTTTTTTTTTGCAAAATACTAAGCTTATATAATAGTACTTTCTATGCTAGGATATCGTTGAATAGTTGTTTATTTATTATTCTCATAGAATAAATAAGTGAAAGAACAAAAAAGAACCTAGAAGGAATGTACTGATGACTTGACTACTCTTGTTTATATTCTAATACTCCTTGGTATATCGGTTGATATAAGTATTGGGGAATTATGTTGGTGTTTGAATCTTGCAAAGATGAAGCAAAGAGATAACAGATAAAAAATGATCTCTATGTTTCTATCATTTTCTCATCTCTTTTCTTTTCTGCTGTTCTTTTATTTCTCGTACTTTCTTCCGCTATTGAATCTTAGCTCTCTCTAGTCGATGTTGTGTCACATCTTTATCCATCTGCAATTGATTCTTTTCTTTTTCGAGAAGCTTTCCGGTTTATACGATGCATATGTATATTCTTGCTAGAATTACGTATTTCTTTCTCTTTCTCGTTTATCTTTTCCTTGACACAAGGGTGACATTGTTCTTCTCGTCCATTGGAGAAGACCATACAACGATGACTGCTACTTACATAAGTTGTTGTCTATATGTTGTTCTCGCACAATTAGTAGATAAAGCCATTGGCAAAAAAATAGAAAATAATGGTAAAGGAAAGGGAAAGAAAAAAGATGGAACAGTTAATTATAAAGACAATGTACTATTTGTAGGATGAATTGGAAAAAGAATAAACACAATGAGATCATTGTAATTTTTAAAGCAAGGTCACCTTTTATTGTATTTATCTATGCAGGATTTTAGATATATGAAATCTTATCTTTCATAATAAAATTGATAGAAAGTAGATGTTTTATTCCTTATATTAATCTATATATGCATATATATATGCATGTGTTTGATATTAGTTTATATCTTTTGTAAGACATTCAATATAAATATTCGATAAAAGATATCTGATGGTTTAATTTTTTCAAACAAGGTCACTTTAAGAATCATAAACTAAATAGTCAATTTTCATGAATACATGCATTGCAGATATAAATAAAAACAAATAACTATAAAATGACCTCTAGAAGTGCAAAAGATATGTGAGAAAAATTATATCTGAATATCTTTGACTACATATTTCTAACTTACAGTTTCCCTTGTTGTCGTTGCATCAGACAATATCGTCTATTTTATTAGACATCTTTCTGAGAACAAAAGAGAATCAAAGATGTGATGGCGCTCGTTTGAGTAAGGCCAAGAAAATAATGAAAGCGGAATTAACAACGAATGACAATTACGAATGGCTGTCTGCGGAAAAAGGGACGATAAAGAAAAAAGAGAGTAATTCTACGCCTATATGCCTTCCAATATCGATACCGCATTCAGACATTATTTTCTCAATGATCTGGATAAGAACGACCTAAACAGCTGAAATGCTTACTCATTGGGTGAAAGTGATGGAGCTTCAGACGTGCTTGTTTTCTTTGGTGGGGCTTGAAGTTGCGCAGCCGCAGTTGCTAGAAAAAAACGATTTTTTTTTGTTATTTTACACATAAATATTTTCTTCAACAGTATACATACATCGTTTGACGTTTACTTGTGTAGCACTCATAGCTTCACCCAATTGATTTTTGAGCACTACTTTGAATTTACCGTCAAAATCATTATTAACTTTATCAATAGTTAATATTGAACAAAACATATGAACATCACGTAATTGATCAATATGTATATTAGCAGAGGGTTTAAGTACGCCAGTTTTGAAATACCATGTCACCTGAAAAACAAAAATATTCATTTCTTAAATAATGCTATCACAAGATGTTTCTTACTGTTGGTTCTGGTTGAGCAATAAAACGAACTTCAAGTTTCAGTTTGTCACCTTCAGTTACAGCCATCGTTGGTTTTAGACGAAGGGTCAAGTTTGGTCGAAGATAATCATGTTCCGCTACAACGACTGGTAATTCAGCACTTACCATTTCAATAGATGACTTCTTCTCAACATCTTCTGGTTGCTTCTGTGTTTCAACAGCAGCTAATCCTTCTTTCTTCTGGACAGGAGCTTTTCCTGCTTCGGACTTCTTCTCTTCAATAGGTTTTGTTTTCTGCTGGGCAACAGAAACAGTGGCTGGAGCAACTGTCTCAATTTTTTCCTTTTTCTCCGTGTCTCTCACTAGTGCACTAGCTTCAACAGCTGATCCAGGTTTACTGACAGCCGACTCTATCTTTATTTGTTGCACACCTGGTTTATCTTTTTGCTCTTCAGCAAGTGCTGCTTTTTCAACAACCTTTGTCTCCTCCTTCTTCTCAACGGAAACCTCAGGAACAACTGTTATCTTCTCTTCAGTAGACTTCACTTTCTTTTCTTCCACTGGCTTCAATTTCTCTTCCGGAACCGTTTTTGTCTGTAGTGCTTCAGTTTTCTTGCCTTTCTTCTCTTCGACAGTCTTGGGCTTGTCTTCAGGGGCAGGCTTCGCTTGTACCTGTTCAGATTTCTTACCTTTCTGTTCGTCGACCGCCTTAGGTTTTTCTTCAGGCACTGGTTTGGCCAGTGTTTGCTCAGGTTGTTTGACTTTTTCTTCTTCGGCGACTTTTACTTGCACTGGAGCAGGTTTCGGTTCTGGTTGTTCCACTTTTTTGCCTTTCTTTTCTTCAACTGGCTTCGCCTTTTCTTCAGGAACCTGTTTTGGTTGCGCTTCTTCAGGTTTTTTGGCTTTTTGTTCCTCGGCTGGTTTCACTTTCTCTTCTGGAGCAGGTTTCGGTTCTGGTTGTTCCACCTTTTTGCCTTTCTTTTCTTCGACTGGCTTCGCCTTTTCTTCAGGAGCCTGTTTTGGTTGTACTTCTTCAGGTTTCTTGGCTTTTTGCTCCTCGACTTGTTTCGCTTTCTCTTCTGGAGCCTGTTTTGGCTGTGCTTCTTCAGGTTTTTTGGCTTTTTGCTCCTCGACTGGTTTCGCTTTCTCTTCTGGAGCAGGTTTGGGTTCTGGTTGTTCAACTTGTTTGCCTTTCTTTTCGTCAACTGG